CACAAGTGAATGCCATTTGCACTTTATTGTTATACATTATCTTCTTATACAGAAAGAGACAAAAGATAACAGGTGAATTCAACAATTTCGAAAGAGCAAGAGAATGGTGTGAGCGAGAGAGATCAGAAGCAGGTTCGTTGGTGGCTCCCAGGCACAAGGGAAATCCTGACACATTACTCAATGTACAGATTTTCCAGCCGACATGGATCACCACATGAATAAGAGCACAGTTCAGAGTGGTACCAAAATTAATCCATTTCACAGTAATCATGTCTATAAGCTCAGTTGCACATAGCAGGGTTTCCAATGGCACACATTCACAATCACAGAGTGGGATAGCAGGTGTATTCAGGCCTGGGAAAGTGGCATTTGCGGAGACAAAGCTGCAGGAGGATTGGTCCCAGTCCTGCATATCTGTGTTAATGCTCAGCTGGGGGCTGGAGAAGGGCAGGCTCCGTTCAGCGGTCAGATATCAGTACAGTAAAGCAACTGTTGGGGCGTTGAGCCCAAGGGAGTGTGCTGTTTGGATATCTTTGTCAGAAATTCTTGCTAGAGAGAGGCTGGCCGCCCACAGCCTGGGAAAGGAAAGGTTCCGGAAGTCTGAACATTTGGGGGTGAATGATGGCAGTAGCCAGGCTGCTAGTGCAACATCTGCTTTACTGAATACTTGCGTGGAAATTGCAGTGACGATCACAAACTGTATTAGTCACAGGATAAACACATGAGTGGAAGGAAAGGTTGCAATATCCAACATCCTCATGATGGAAAGAGAACAGGGACCACTTTGCACAGAAGCCATACATAGGAGAAATGCCAAACCCCAAAGCTGAAGGCACACTAAAAGAAGGGATCCTTAGTACCTTAAGCCATTTCTGGGAAGGAGGTACTAATTTTAAACTAGATATTTCTTACACCAAGCACTCAGAAAACTGACTGAATGGGGAAAAAACTTCAAATATTTTTATGTAGCAAGAATTACAGCTACTGTGAATTATCTCAAATTGCAATTTTCTTGAAGTTCTGAATGAGCGGGCTTCAAATTAATGGGCTTTTTTTTTTCTGTCGTTGCAAGCAGTGTGATTAACAGTACTTTAAAATTAGCTAATTATACTGATTAGTATTAGTAGACTTCAGAGGGGAGGGTACAGTTGTCTCTGAAGGGGGGACATCCTGAAATGGACCTTTGTCGCTTATTAAGCTACAAAGCAGCCTAACCAAGCAGTTTGGCTTTGACTGTGTCTACAAACACAGAGCCCTGGCCAGTCAAGTCGCAGTCTCTCTCTGTTATGTTGCTCTCACTTGGACAAAAGAACCATCTAAAGGCAGTGTTGGATTTTTGCTTTCTTCTTATAGGATGCCATTGAGTTGTCAAACCATTAACTCTGATTGGGGATTGGGAGTCTCCCTCCACTAGGAGAGGGGAAGCACCTGGTCCAACTTCTTAACCAAAAAAGCCACTTTCCCATCCTTAATCCCTTACATGTGGGCCACTAGAAACACATTGTCCAACAAATGGGACCGATTGCTATTTGCTGGAGCACCCTAAGGCATTCACACTAATGGCAGTGGGGCAGGGAAAAGCAGGGGAAGCTGCCGCTTCCTGAGGCCAACTGCTCAGCGCTGAAGTTCGCGTCAGAGTGCACATCAGAACTGTGTGGGGTGTACACATATGACAGGCACCTGCACGCCCCGCTCTTCCTATTGTGCTTTCGTTTGGAAAACTCAAGATGATGGGTGGTAAGGGAGGGATGGGATTGGCATTTTTTTTTCTTTTAAAAAGTGTTACAAAGTTTTTGGTTGAAAACAAGTGACAGTCACATCTCAAGAATATTTAAAGCCTTTTCTGTTTATAATGAAAAATATCTAAGTAACTAGCCCCACCCTTCTGAAAGTCAATAGTCACATATCTTTACACACACACAGACATGCGTGAGAGCACACCACGTATACACACACACACACACACACACACACACACACACACACACACACACACACCACTCAACAATGTTGAGATTTCCTCCAGCCACTGATGGCACAAAATAGGAGCTGAGGCAGGGGAACACCATGCAGAAAGAGTGAGTGAGTGGAGATCTCACAGGGAGGAGACCCAGGAATGGAACTGCTTCATCTTTTTCCAAAGCATTTTGGGGGAGGAGGGAACAAAAGGCAGTGACTTTGGGAGTTCCACCAGCTAATCTCAGCTTTTCTTACACAGCGCTGCCTTGTCTCAGGAGTGACATTGTTTCCTTTACACCAGATCTCTCCTTGTTCAAATATACCCAACCACGAGCTATCACTCAGATAAGCAGTGAGAAAAGGCCATGTATACACACATACATACACACACACACACACACACACACACACACACACATACACACCCCTAAACAACAAAAATGTGGCTACTGAAGTGTTAGCATTATATCAAATCAACACCCATACAAAGACAGAGTTTGAAAAGATATGTACAGGGCATTCAGAAAGCCAAGTGTGCACCACAAGGAATTATGCCCATTGTCTTTTCTACAACATACTGCAGAACCCTCTCACAGTGCTTGACACACCCCACCTAGGAAAACTCTGAGAAGCACCTGAGCCAAGACCACAGCTGTAAGGAGTGGCCTCTGGCTCTCCTGTAGCTGGGTCCTCAGCTCCTGGGGGACACATGCTGTCAACCACAGGCCAGTCCCCAGGGTTGTATTTCCTGCTCTCTCCCATGACCATCCAGCCTCAAGCTACTGGGCAGCTCAGCAGGGGAGGCAGCTCAGATGCCAAAGGCAGTGTGTGCTCCTTTGGCATACTCCTTTTGGCTCTAGTCCATGGAGCCTGTGCCTGGCTGTCTACTACCTAGGGAGAAGACACATTAAGAAAAGTCTCTTGTCATGTCTTTCCAGGTGACAGTTGGGCACCTGGTTGCAAAAATACTTGGAGAGCTGGGATTGGCCCCAGACCTTCCAGCTTCATTATGTCCTCAAACACAGCTGGATGGGAATAATCCGAGCCTCCATCATGGAAAAAGCCAGAGCCTTCTAGGTGGAAAAAAAACCCTCATAGGGAAGGGCAAGAGTCTAATACTAGAGGACCAGGGGAGGAAAAGAAGGGAGTTGAGGTGAAATATCACCTGCCCAGCATCCACAGCATGAGAGAACTCTAGAAAAAAAGGGCAACTGGCAGAAGATTGACTTAGAAGGTTGACACTGTGCATCAGAGGCATATGAGGCCATCCGCTATATTATAGCTACTTCTGGAAGAATCTTGCTAAGAGAAAAACCACACTGGCTCCCAGGGGGCTTTAAGCAATTCACAAGCACGAGTTCAGTCAGTCTCCAATGGCCTGTGAGGTAGGGGAAATGAAGGAAAATCCTAGCCATAGGGTCCAGTTATCCATGGCAGTAGCCTTACCGGGACAAGAGTGTCCCAAGAAATGTTGCCAGCATTTGACGGGCCTCCGAAGGCCATTTGGGAGCTCAACACAGAGCTGCATGCAGGGAATGAGTCCCAATGTCTGCCTGGCAGAGCTGTTTAGACTAAAGGAAGCTTGTCAAAGCTGGTTTTAAACTACTGTGGTTGCCAGTAGACCCTTACTGCACACTCTTTTGGGCCCCACAGAAATTTGCTACATTTGTAAAGCACCACAGAGGAAAACTGGTTTGGCACAGGGGCCGGGAGAATGGAGATGGGGTGTGGAGAGATGGTATCAACAGTGTCTATACATGGTCACTGACAGTTACAGAGCAGGTTATCTCTGTCCAACTCTTCCCAAAGCCTCACAGAAAATGGGCCAGCACCTGGCCACAGCAGAGCACATCCCTCATGGGCCTTCAACCTCAGATCATTGGTTTCCCCAGCAAGAAGTTCATAAAGAGACACTATACGTTCTTCTTCCCAGGTGGGCACTGTCATTAGGAAAAATTGTCCATCAGAATGCGTCTATTCACAAAAGAGAAGTAACTTACAAGCTCAAAGCTAGAGTGCTCAGCGCCAAAGAGGCCAAGCTCCTGACTTTCATTGTTCTCATACAAGAAGCAAAACCTTCAGCTCTCTCTCCCAGCTTGTACCTTAACCACTCAAGCTATGAGACCCACAGACAGGGTGAGGACCATCCATTTTTCCCCTGGACAAAGTACCCTAAGGTTGCAAGTGGGCTCATGCCACCAGGCAGTGGTTTTAGCACATCTGGTACACTGGTCGGGGAAGCCAAGCACATCAGAAACAGGATGGCAAAGCTCATGTGGGCCCCTTGGTCAATAGAAAGGAAGGAGCTTTGCCACCCAGCCATTCGGCCTGCATCCTGCACACCCTGCCCTCCTGGCAGGTTGCTATAAACATTACTTCCAACCTGGTCAGGAGTGTGTGGGTGTGGCTCAGAGGAGGGTTACACTACAAATCTGGACAACTGGTTGCCCCTGGCTACCTGTGAATGGCCCAGGTGTGACTGTTTTATTCTAGGATGTCCATAGTTGGTTCATCTGTTATTACATAGTTTGCTTTGTTTATTCATCAATTCTTGTCCCTGTCCTCATAATCTAAGTAAGGACAGAAAGCACTGAAAAGTTGTGGAACACAGGTACTATAGGCCTGGCTTCTCTCGCTCACTTCTGGGGCCTAGGACCCCAGATATAGAGAGATCTCTAGCCAGCCCCACAGCCCCAGGGGCTGAGCCTGTGGAGATTCTGGCCACCATCAACAGAGAGGGGGGGGTGATTCCTTTGGCATAAGAGAAGCCAGTCCCAATAGGAGGGCAGGATGGTGCGAAGTTGGGGGGGGGCGGCTCTAGAGGAGGTACGCTCTTCCCAGTGGGTTTTGACTCCTGCATGTTCCATACCCCCCACCTCCACACTGGTGTGTGTCAACTGGCTTCCTAAGAATCCATGGTTAGGGAATTATTTGGCAACAAGGACGCTAAGGCTGTTCTGTGGTGACAGTCTTTCAAATGTTCAGAAGGAAACAGGAGGCCCGTGAAAGAGGCTTTCTTTGGGGCCAGGGCACGCACCACACTACTTGTCTGTGCCAGGGCTGGCAGCCACTATCTCTTCATACTTTGGAGGTGGGTCACTGTAACAGACACTGGCCTCCTCACTGTTGCCCTCCTGGGGTGCAGTGACCTCTTCATAAGACGGGGGAGGACTGGCACTGGACAGTCTGGAGAGAGACAGCTCAGGGAGGTAGAGGGTACTCTCCAGCCGGACCGTAGCTCTGCTTCCCCGGCTGGTCCCCAGCACTACCTGTGGGTTGCCCCCCACCTCACGATGCACAGAGGACTCCCCCTGGCTATGCACAGTACCCCTATACACCATGACCCGGGGGAGGCTGTGCCCAGCGCGACTGGCTAGATACCGGTTCTGAGCATAGGAAGGGTGGTGGCGAGTTGCTTTCTGCAGCTGGCATCTCCAGATGATGAACAAGGCGATGACAATCAGCAGAACTACCCCCAGAAGGGGCACCACCACGTACATGGCATCTGAGCTCTGCGAGGGATCCCGGACCGAGTAGACTGCATTCGGGTACCCCTTCCAAAACTCCATCTGTAAGAGAGAAGAGGCCACTCACATCTGGGGGGGGGGGGAAGGGTGCCACGTAATACTTACCAAACACCTGTAAACCACATGCACCTCCCAAGCCTCCCCAGACCTCAGGCCATCTCCTATGAAGTTGCTCAGGACCAAGTCTTCGGTACTCTTTCCCCTCCTCATCTGATTGGCATCTAAGGAGTGCACAAAGGTCAAAGGACAAAGCATCCCTTTGAGGAAGGCCTCAAAAAGTCTCACAATAGCACTGGATGGCCATTCTTTCAGTTTCTTTTTGGCCCCAGTGCACATGCTCCAGGCCAGGGTGGCTTTCCTCCCTAGCTTCTGACTAGTCTGAGGTACCCAGGCCTGTTCTTCCAGAAGCCAGCCCCGGGGAAGTACGTGCCGTTTTCTCTTTGTTCTCAAACACCTCCTTGACCTCCTCGTAGCTGCAGATCTCTTCCATGCACTCACGCTCGATGGTGCCCTGGCGCAGCTCCTCCAAGAACTCATTGGCCCGAGGAAACCGCTTCAACACTGCATGCGCATTCTTGGCCTCCAAAAACACTGAGGATAGAGCTGCAATGAGGCTACACAGAGGCTCTTTCAAATCATGTCCACCCAGAGACACAATTATTGAAGGGGATAAGGCAAGTCAAACAGAGGCCATGCCAGATCTTCACCCAAAGGTAAGGGGCTGTTACTTTTTGTGCCTCTAGTGCAAAAGGCCAAGCAAGAGGGACTCAGGGGTAGGCTTTTTGTGATGCCATAATGTTCTGTCTGGAATACCAAGGTCACAGCAGGCTGCAGCCGCTTGGGAAGACAGAAGTAAAGGGAAGGCAAGTAAAGAGGGAAGTTCCTGTTGCACCTGACTGAGAAAGAGGGAAAATTATAGCTATTGGAGTTCTCATAGCTGCAATTTCTCTTGAAAAAGAATGTCTCCATCCCTGTCCCGAGAATGGGTTCCTCTTGGAGGCTGACACTGGTAGGACGAATACAAGCCCAAGAAAGTCCCACCAGGGTGGCAACTCTTCGTCTGAACTATCAGGACATGTAGCATAAGTAGTGATGTTTGAAGCAGTCTAGGAGAACCTAGACCATGGAGGAGCAGGGCACTGGAAACATATGGACTTGAAAGGACCTTTTGGAATGCATTAAGAGGTCTATATGGAGAATCTGAGCAGGTGTTCCTTTGGAATTGACCCTTCCTGCAAAACTATCATAAGGCAGTAGACATATTGAGTTATTCCAGAGACAAACCTAGCTACAACTAGTTGAGACTATGACTATGAGCTATGCACTCCCAGGAGCTGAAGATGAAACTGGTAACATTTACTCCTAGTATTCACTCAAAGGTAACACTGTTTAGTTCTTGTGTCAAGTGATGGCACTCAATGGCAGGGCTGCTGGGTTTTGTCGGTAGGCCCATTATGCAAGCCTGTCTCATCGGTGTGCCTGAGGGTTGAGAAGCTACTGATCAGCTAAGCAGACAGTGGCCACAGGGCCACTGAGGACAAGAAAGCTGGAATGGACTTGGGAGATGAATTCATGCCTTTCCCATGAGCCCTTGGGCATGGCTCTTCCCCCCACTGGACTGAGCCTGAAAAAATTTACCTGCCATGATGTTCCTTTAGCGCCACCGTCTCACTTGCCTGAGAAATGAAAAAAGTAGATTTATGGTGAAATCACATCCAGAAAACTATAGGCACCTTCCTGGCCTTGAGCTGTGACCCCCCCACCACATGGCTCTAGTCTCAAAGCCAAACAGTATCATGAGATGCAGCACCCCAAGCTCCTGCTGATTCTCATTCTCCCTACAGCTCTTCTCAACAGTCCTCAAGTCTCACCACAGCCCTGCAAGGCCCAGCAGAGCCCAAAGCAAATCTTCCAGCTATTTCCTCCAGAAAACATTCTGAGTGTCCAGAAGACTTTAGGACTTTTCTTTTTAAAAAAAAAAAAAAAAAGTTCCTGTGAACTAGGGCTCCTTTTTTTCCCTCAATCCTGAAATGAATCTTTGGGCCTTCAAACTGGAAAGGACCATAGTAGCACATGAAGAAATGAAGCCGATAGACATTGATCAGGAAATGGAAGGTTAAGCAAATTGACAGTGACATAGGCAGGAGCTGAATTCGGAACAGATTTTGCCCACAGTGGCAAGTCCTAGATACCTCTAATGACAAGCTTGTTTTTTAAAACAGCAAACATAAAGCAGCAGCACAGATAACCATCTCTACAGTAACCTCCAGTGGATACCTGTTGCTGGTTTGATCCTCTATATACAACATAGCTGTTTCTTATAAATCCAGATGACCTGCTAGTTCATCTTTACAAGAAATGGAGGAAAGATACTAGGCTCTTCCAGAAGCATACATCGTCTCATCTCTCTTTACATTAAAGACTACTGCAGCAAAGTACAAAGACACAAATTTAAATGATCAATATGGAGACAGGGCTGGGGCTATGACTCAGTGGTAGAGTAACATGACTAGCTCAAGCAAGACTCTGGGTTCCATCCCCAGTGCCACAACAAAGCAAAAACAACAAAAAAGAAAAAAACAATAACAATGAGAAAAACTGAGCTACTGACTACAAGAGAGGCCTCTCATGTGGACTCTTGTCCCAAATCCTATCTCCTGCTAAGGAGCTACCAAGCTAATATGTCAACCATGGGCATGGCAGCCTTCCTCAAAATACACATACATTCTGGAACACTGGGTCACTCTACATCTGGGAGCAATCATCCCATTGTTCCTCTCCCTATGCAGAATCCTGTGTTTAATGACTGACCACCAATGGGATGTAAGGCACATGAGCAGTGTAACCCGTGGGTTACTACCCTTTCTGACTTGGCTACCAGTGTCAACAGTGACAACGAAGCACAGGTGTCCTGGAAGGTCAGCTGTTAAGCAATACACTTCTTTCCTACCGCTAGCTTCAGCTTAATATTGGTGTTTTCAGACTCATATTGTTATTATGCATGTATGACTTCTCATCCTTTTAGAAAACAAGGCAGGATACAAATCAATACATTTAAAACAATGGGAAAGACAGCAGCACTAATACCCAGCTGGGATATCACTGTGTTACTCTGCCACAATTGCAGGGAAAACTACCAAAATACAGATGAGAATTTTCCAACAGATAGGTCTGCCATTGTGACAGAGCTGGTTCTCAGTATCCATAATGGCAGAGAGGGCATATTATCTCAAAATTTTGCTTCTATCACGCATCTCCTAGATCCACATAGTACGGATGTGGAGGTAGTATACCTAAGAAAAAGGGGATTTGGTGGGGAAAAAAATGGGGGTCAGGGTTTGAAAAGAATGGGAAAAGGGTATACTGATACAGGAAGTGAACTTCAGTGTTTTCAAAGACATCTTCTATGGAAAAATGACGTAATAGCTTACATACAGCCATCTTTTTGTCCCAAACACATGGACCTTGGTACATGCATCACCACATAAACCTTAACCCCATGTTGGTGTTAGTCTGCCACCTGCAAACGTCATTAGTTCCATTTGAGCTTCAAAGAAGCCAAGATCTCCCCAAAAGAGCTCACTTGGCTTGGCCCACTCCATTAGTAATTCTGTAGCTACCATCACTGCTGCTGCTGCCGGCCACCACGCGGCCTCCCCCCCTCCCCTGCCCAAAATTTACGGCCCCGCTTCTTCCCCTATAAATACACCATCAATAGGCAGTTACTATGGCAACGGTGAGGAAGCATGAGGGCTCCAGACAGAGAATGCTGCTGCAGTGACACATGTAGATGCCCCTCCTGCCCCTGGTGAATACTGTAAAGCTCCTTGTAGGCTGAAAGAATTTTTAACCCACTCCCCACAGGCACACGAGTGAATCCTGCCAGCCAAGAAAGAAAAGAAAAGAAGGAAGGAAGGCCGGAAACCGGCCGCCACAAACACCTTCCTAACTCCACTGCAGGCCCAAGCCTCTGAATCACAGCCCTGTGGGACACAGGTCCCAGAGTCCCTCACAGGGAGACCAGCAGCCACCAGAGCACCTGGTGTGTCCCAAGGCAGAGCCTCCAAAGCCCTTCTCCAAAGCCCTTTTATTTCCTTCAGTGCTGGCCATGAAAGGGGCTTGTGATTTCCAGATCTCATGATTCATCCACCCACCCAGTGACATGGCATCGCCCCCAGTTAAGTTCAAAGTCTGGGGCCTCCTGTCCCCTGCCCATCGCACCAGCCTTGCAAGTGCCTGTCTTTGCCCACCTTTGCTTCACCCCAGCGCCCTGCTCAGGAACTCCTGCTTCTGGCCCAGCAGCAGTCTTTCTCCACCAGGTTGAATCGAGACCCCCCAAACGCTTTGGCCCTCCAAGACTCCAGATCCCCCCAACCCACAGTGCCGCGCGCCCAGCGCAGTGACCCTGACCACCGCCGAACCGTGCCCTCGGGGCTGGGGCGCCCAACCAACGGCCTCACCGTTCTGCAGGCCCAGGGGGTGGCCGCCCTGTTTGCGCACGCAGCCCGCCACCTCGCTGCGGCGCCTCTTCCAGCAGGGCCCCTGTCCCCGCCCACCTGCTCCCCGTCGGCCAAGCCCCCGGCCCAGCCCTGACGTCTCTTTCCCTCCGTCCCTCCCCGTCCTGCTCCCCACCCCTCTCCGCGCTCCCCACACACCCCTGCAACCTCAGGCGCCCCTCCCTCCCCACATCCCTTCGCCAACCCAACCAGGGCCAAAGTGTGCCGGGAGCCCCCGCCCTCACAGCCAGGCTGCCCAGGCCCTGCCCATTACCTCGGCTCCCCCCTGCCTGCCCTGCTCTCCTCTGGGGGGCTCCGCTGCTGCCTGCACCCCCCCACACACACCCCGCCGTGCCAGATCTGGCCTCGCGCCCTGCGCCCCGAGCGCGCCTCCCTCGCGCGCCACGACCGCCGTGCCCTGGGGAGCCAAGGCCGCGATCGTTGCTCTGCCCAGCGCACCAGGCCGCCTGTGGGGCCCGGAGAGGAAGCAGGGATGGGGGCGATCGGAGCAGGCCAAGGGGTTAGGGAGGGAGGGCAGGCAAGCCGGGCTGGAGGGGCGGCGGCGCGCGCCCTGCACTGCGTGCCCGCGCCCCGCTCTACCGGCGCCGCCCCTGCCCGCGCCCGTGCCCGTAGCGCCAGGAGGGGGGGCAGGGCGTGGCCAGGGGCGCGCCTCCGAGGACCCTAGGACACCTCGCGGGCCCACTGGTGACCCACACCTCAGGCCCACAGAAGACCTGGCGCAGCAGCAGCTCGAGCGACCGCGCCCAAGGCCCGCGCGTCAGGCGTCCACGCACAGCACACAGCAGCCCCCCTCTTGCTCTTTACCCAGGCTCACCTGCCATTCGGGCCGACCTGGCCCCGGGTACTTCACGGCGGTGGAAAGAAGGGCGAATGCCAGCAGGCCCGTCCTGCCCAGGCCCCACAGAAGAAGGGCTGAGTCTGGCCGCCTTCTGCCAATGACTGAGTGACCTTGGCTGCCTCACTTACCTCCCCCCACCCTATCCCGAGATGGCAAAGCTGCTTTCTTGTAAAAATCGGAGAAATGGAGAGACTCCCTTCTGCTCCCCCTCAAAAGGCTGCAGCCAGATGAAGAAGGAAATGGGCTTGGAAAACCCTGAGGAATAGAAAGGAAAGAGGAAGGAATTTGTCTGGGCCAGGAAGGAGCGCTAGGTGTGTGTGTCAGGAGGTGGGGGGGACCCCCACCCCATTCCGCCTTGGGGGAGGGTCAGCACACATGACTGGGCAAGGTTCTGGAAGCAGAGACAGGACACTAGCATAATAACCACAAGGTTTTAACTTCTAAAGACACAGGACTGACGGAGCCTAGGAAGCTGGAGTCTGAGTCTGGGGAAAAAAATTGCCAAGCTGAAGTGAGGCCTGCCCGTTGCTCCTTGCTTGGTTAAAGGAGCTCTTTGATGTTCTTTGGCCCCTAGGAATGAGCTTGAGAATCTCACAACACTACCCCAAACCCAAGCCAGGCAGAGAAACACCAACTGTCCTGCCAGGCACTTGGAGAGTGGTTGGGGAAGACCTCCTCTGCAGTTGTTCTTCCTGTTGGCTACCCTGGTTACCTTGTCTATACCTTTCTTCTCTGCCAGGGCGCATGGCACATTCCCTTCCACTCCTCCCAATATCAGAGGCCCCTTCCTTCATTGCTTCCTCTTCCCAGGCTGCCTGAGTGTTCCTTGCTATGCCGGACCCTGCGTGGCCTTTGGAGCAGATGCCACAGAGGAAAACAAGATTTCCCGGGGAAGACAATGGCCTCTTTCCATGCAAAATTCAATGGTGTATAGAAGCCCTGGTTCATGAAGTCATGATTAGGGCTTACAGAACGAATCTGCGTCTCATAGGCCCCTCCAGCCTGTTTGCATCCTGAACTATCATGGAATCTTGTTCTGATAGCATTTCCAGTATGCACACAAGGGCTCAAGGTTTCTGCTTTCCTCCGCCTCCACCATCTGCACTTGAACTTCTGGCCTAACAACACTAGCCCACTTCTAGTTCCTTCTTGGAGCTGAATGCCTGTCCTCCCACTATTAGCAAGAACATTCACATCCATTCTTCCCACACCCAGCAGATATCATCTGCATGTTGAGGTCTTGTAAGGTCCTTCCCCCGACATGAGTTCTCCACATTGTCTACAGGGAATAGAAAGCTGGGGCCCTCTATGGATGGCATGGGAGGGGAAAGAAGCAGAGCATCCTTCAGGTGTGGGCTGCTTGCTGTACCTCTTGAGAGGACTATGTACTGGTTCTGTGATGTTCAACGAGTGATTTAGTCTTTCCGAATTAGTTTCTTAAGCTTTTCAATGGGAATGAGGCTGACACCGCCTGCCTCCAAAGGTTTTTAAAGAGTAAAGGAAATAATCACATAGAGTGTGCCTAGTGCTTAAAATGAATCAGCTTCAGCTTCTCTATGATTGCATTCTGCTCAATGAGTGGCTTAGTTATGTTGTGTACTGGCCTTCTCTCTCTTGGGCCAGCACACTGTCTTCCTATGTCTCAAGGCATAAATCCACCAGGGAGTCTCATCCATACCAGGTGCTCACTAGCTCATTGTACAGTAGGGGAGGGGAGAGTGCTCAAGTTGTGAGCTTCAATAATGGTCAGCCATCAGGATGCTTCCACACCCAAAGCAGCCCTGCCATTTACTTCTTCACTGTATAAGCCTCAGCCAATCCCTCTTTTCCTCATCCCTCAACTCCACCAATTCTATCTCCAAAAAGATTTGGCCTTTCCCTTGTCCCATCCCCCTCTCCTCACTCTTTAAACGGTAAGTGCTTCCCCCCCCCCCCCACACCACATTCTTTCTTTTCCTGACACTCATCCATACAGAAAGGCGCCTTCTCTGGTTTTCATAGCTGGAGCTATGTCTGAGCGGTAGTGAATATAAAGAAAGAAAACAACTCCAGAACCAAGCCCCAGCCCATACTGCATTTACAGGTGGGTAGAGGAGTAACCTCAGATGGGAGAGGGAAGAACTGATGGGTGTGACAGGAGGGGAACTGGAAGAATGTAGATACAGGTACAGGAACTGTATCAGGAAGTGGTGGGTGCACCACCAATCAGTCCCACCACATTGGGAAATGAAGGGAGGAAGCCTTCGAGTTCAAGGCCAACCTGGGATACTTAGCAAGTTCCAATTCAGCCAGAGTTATAACAAGATTCTTCATTGAGAAAATTAAAAAGGGGGTGGTAAGCAACTAAAGTGTTCAGCACAAAGGGGTGGTTTGAGGAGAGGAGAGAGATTGAAATAGTCTCCAGGGAGACCAAAGGGTATGTGTTCTATGGAGCTCCAGCATGATTGCCAGACCACATTAAGGCTGCACTTGAAAGTAGATGACTATTGCTTTAAAGGGAAATGATTCAGCATGTCTGCATGATTTTCTCCAACCATGTTCAATTGCATTAATGCACACTCAGTATTGGGATTTTGCTAGATGAGTACAAAGAAATTAATGACAGAGGGACTTAGAAATGACATGTAGATTCAAGGGAGAAATGATCATGAATGGCTGCAGGTTTTCAACTGCATAACGAGAGAGGGAGATAAGGGCAGACTGAGCCGGTGAAGGCAAGAAAGCAGTAGAATCCTCATTCCCGTAGGTGTCAAAGATTGTTCCAATACTCAAAGGAGGGGAATGGTGACTAGAGAGTTGGATGTATGAAGTGATAGGTTTTAAAGGGAGGAGGCCTAAGCATCAGCAGACAATAGATCAGAAAGCAGAACAGGGGCTGGAATTACTGTGGGTACAGAAATCACAAGAACTGCTTAAGTTACATCTAACCAATTGTAATACTGGAGCCCTGATGCCTCATCTCCTCCCTAAAAAGCTCACTATGTCATGGACCTGAAGAGTATCCCATCTCTGAACCTCGGCCCTGAAGCTCACTGGCTCCAGAGGTTAGCTCACCACTAGGAAGGGCCTCACCCTTACCCCAGGTTCCAATTTCTCAGCTTTTACTCAGTTTTGTCCCTGAGCTTTTATGTTCCATTTCCATCTTCTTTCTAAACGGAGGAATTTTTAAAAAAACTTGGTGTAGAGCATTATAATTATAAATATGCAAACACCAGGTATGGCTCAATGAAGAGAATTAACATATGCTTCCTGTCACATATTTACCATACATTTGTGGTGAAAACATTTAAAACTTACTCTTTTAAGTTTCAAGTGTGCAATGCACATAATATTGTTACTGGACATGGTTTCCATGTGCATTGTTGATCTCCAGATGTCTGAGTCCTCCTCCAACTGAAATCCTGTGCCCTTTGACCAATGTCTTCCCAGCCCCCTCACCTCACCACCTCAGCCCCAGCTTGCCACTATTTTGTTCCCTGCTTCTGTGAATTTGATTTGTGTAGAATTCAAATACAAGTAAAAACATGTGATATTTGTCTTCCAACGTCTGCCTCACTTCACTTAGTGTAATTTCCTCTAGGCTCATTCATACTGTTGCAAAAGGCAGTATTTCCTTATTTTATGAATGAATAATGTTTCCTTTGTATATACACCACATTTCTAATGATAAGTCTAGGCGAGGATGGGAGATAAAGAGAAGCCTTCCATATACACTAGGAATGTAAATTAATACCACCATGAAGGGGTCAATATGGAGCTTCCTCAACAAAGAACTTAAATTAGAATTACCACATGAGGGGCTGGGAAGGTGGCTCAGTGGTAGAGCGCTTGCCTTGCATGCATGAGGCCCTGGGTTCGATTCCTCAGCAACACATAAGCAAAAAGAAAAAAGCTGGAACTGGTGCTGTGGCTCAAGTGGTAGAGCGCTAGCCTTGAGCTGAAGAGCTGAGGGACAGCGCCCAGACCCAGAGTTCAGGTCCCACGACCGGACCCAAAAAAAAAAAAAAAAAGAATTACCACATGATTTGGACTATATGACCCAGGCATAGACCCAAAGAAACAGAATTGAGTATGTTGGCTAAGCTGTTGAGAGATAGCTCCAGTCCATGTTCACTGCAGCACTCCTCGCTGCATGCCAGGTGTTAGGAACTCAAACAGTGTCTGTCATGCTCCCATTGCGGCTGCAGGACAGAGACAATCACATGTGTGATTCTGAGATAATGCTTCTTCATTCCAAGAGCCAGAGCCAGCCTGAGAATTTCCCTTCATTCACTCACCACAGCAGCAAACTCTGAGCTGACCTAGACAAACTGTGGTAGGGCAAACAGAGCCAGGAAGCTAGGCTGTAGAGGATACGTGACTGGGGCTGCCAGGTTTTGTGCCTTGAATTCTCTTTCAAACTTCTGTGTCCCACACATAGTCTACATATTCCATGGGAGAGCTTAGTCTGAAATCTAGACCCCTGGATGCTTAGGGACAGCTGGAAAATAATCCAAGATGGGAGGCTGAAGGTTGGCCCTTCCTGAAGTGGGGAGAATCCCTCAGTGGCACGTCAACTTGGGTACTAGAAGTTCTTCCCTTACACTGGATGATCATGGCCTCCTCTGGCCACATGCACTGCCAGAGAGTAGAGGAACTGCTAGGCCAGGATTTGTCAGAGACCATGAAGCATGAAAATCACTAGGGATACATTTTAATCATGGAGATTCTCATGGGTTCATTTGCACTCTGTATAGAAGCAGTGAATGTGAGGGGTCACCAGAGCCCTGCATTACCCAACATCTAGCATGCCTAATAACTGATGCAGGGGTCCAGGTAGAGAAAACTTTCAGAAACTGCTGTGACCTAGACTTTTATCCAAGACAGAGCACCCCCCCCCATCTTCTTCCCCTCCCTTCACATACAGATATAGGCAGACAGACAGACAGACAGACAGACAGACACACACACACACACACACACACACACACATACACACACACACCAGCACGTACCTCTCAGAAA